CAAACTCATTGTTGTACAGTATCTTTAACTGCACTAAGGTACACTGAGGAAGTTCTTTTGGAAGCTGTGGTCCCATTCGCTCCATTTATCGAGGACAACTTTGTGTTACTGCATGTTAAAGCTCGACAGCACGTAGCTCGAGTTGCCACCCATTACTTGGAGGATGTTGGGATTACCACAATTAATTTGCCAGCACGTTCTCCCGATATGAAAACAAAAGAACAATTTTTTTTTGTCTTGGAGTATAGAAGGGCAGACTGTAATTAGATTTAATTTTGTAAGAAATAATCGAGTGGATGAACATATCAAGGGAAAATGGTTAATCGGGTTGAATTAGAGGGCAATCGGTCAATGCTATTATTTTGACAAATTATATTTTTTAATATTATCGGTATACATTTATCATTTAAAATCGGGAAATATTCTCGTTGTAATTAAACCGTGCTTAAAAATATATCAGGGTTTATTTATAATTTTTTTTTATCTCGTGTCTTCCGTATTTTATTATCCTGCTTTACTACTACGAGACTCCTTTCCCTGTAGGCTGAACGCTACAATTTGTAAACAAGAAAAAATAAACAAATTCGAGTTATTTACACTCAGCAGGTGTTTCCAAGATAGCCGAACAGTCTCAATTGTATTTATTTATTTGTAGAGATACAGGTTCAAGGTTTAAACAGATATTTTAGAGACACACAATACCAATATTCATAACATTTTTTAAAATAATATTTATTTGTATCCTGTACGTGGATTATACATTTTACAAATTGTTATGATGGTATAAAAATCCCGGGCAAAACACTCATACACTATGGCCAGTACTGTACTCGGAGGACATGTGTCGTGGGAAGCCAGCCGGAATTTTGGCACTTAGTTTGTTATTGGCGTTATAGAGATCTGGAGGCCATCATCGTTTGACGAGACGTGGAAGGTGCTTGGGATGGAAAGAAATGTAGAGGGGTTGAGCAGAGGGTTAGGATGGAGTGAAAGATTGAGGAAGATGGAACGGATCAGTTCTTGGGCGAAGGGAATGTTAAGGTCATTGTGCACAGTGATATCGGAGTCATTAACAATTCAGAACTAAAAATAATAAATTAATATTGCCACAAGGGAGCATACTAGGTCCACTACTTTACTTGTTATACACCAGCGTTTTTCAAAAATGGATGGAGTAAAAATTGGTACGTTTGCAGATGACTGCGGTGATATCAGTACGTTAACCATCAACCATTCATCCAAAATCGTTCAAACGTAACGAGCATAAGCAAAAAGAGGAGAATCACGCTCAAACAGCATAAATCTGTACACATAAATTTTACAAACAAACAATTGAACCATGTTCCTTCTCTCACCATACAGCGGTACAGCTAAATGTCTGAGAAGGACCTTAGATGCCGAGCTCCAGGAAGGGAAGAGTGGGCCTGAAGGTCAAACACTCCCTGGTACGTCGATGGCTAACACCGATAAGCTGGAATCTTCTGGATGAATCCTAAGACCGAACTGACTTTAAACTTAGGTAAATACCCTACAGTTTTCCAATATGAAATCATAGCAATTGCACACTGCGTCAGAGAAATAATAAGGCTAGGAACCGATTCCAGGAAGATAGCCATTTATTCTAACAGTCATACGGCCCTTAAGGCAGGCTCATGGAAGGTACAGGCAAAAAGCGTATGGAGTTGTATGGAACCCCTGGCAGAAGTCAGTGGCACGAAGGCACAAGCAACAGGCCTAGGACCTTGCCACAAAAAAGGACACACCTGAAATCCTTAATGAGTCCGAAACCTTGCTGAACAAAACTCTAGACATGAGGATCCATAGAAGGGCCTGCGCAAGACTTAAAAAGGAATTACTGGAGGGTAACAGAACCTGGATTCTGGTTCGACTCTTGACAGGGCACTGCTGCCAAACAGACAGAAGAAACACTGGCATATACTGTCAGAAAGAAGAGAGATCGCAGAACACGTTTTATGATTCTGTGAGGGTCTATGTAGGGGTAGTTTCTTGCAACTAGGAGAGAAAAGCTGCAAGCACGCTCCTACACTAAGGAGCCAGTGACAAGGCAATGGAGGTTGATTAACAACCTGAAGCTGGTCAGTGATTTACAATAATAGAGGATCACAATAATCTATTCAGGTCGAGGTGCAGAAGGCCTTGTGGCCACCTCTTTTACCCCTATTCCCATCCCGAAGATATGCTGAAAAAATGATCAAACTCGGGCATCATCCGGCCAGAATTAACTGAGATTCTGTTGTTTTGTTTTTTTGTTTATTGATTTACACTTGCGCCAATTGCTGCGCTTAAGTAAATTTGATAACATCTTACAGCGCAAAACAAAACAAAATGAACACTAAAAATGTACATAAATAAGAAAAAATAGGAACTATTCATTAGTAGTCACACCTATAGATTAGGGTTTTTCTCTTTCACTGTCTCCTGGGAGGTCGCAAGGCCTGCGTCACTTCTGATGTCTGGCAGGATTACTTGGAAGGGTGCG